ATTTAAAAGCATGTACTGGACTACTGGTGCATCAGTTCTCATGTGCATCGTCAAAAAAATGTGGCACATGAACTGTAGTAATAGAATAATTTAACCTTGTTAATAAGCATGCAGAATAAGTAATTAAAATGATGGCAATGCATTAATTGAGTGACATGCAGATGGTCTTCCCAAAGTATAACAAGTAGATGAATGCTAATATATAATTATTGGCACCTATATAGAGTGTCGGTTAGGCAACATAATTATCAAATTATGTTTAGGAATTTCTACTGCTAAATTATATAGTCATACACACTAAATGCTAATGAGAAACTTCCTAATATAGTGGGGAAAAATTCATTTTTTTTTGTAAAATCCTAAATCCCAATTAAAATCCAAGCACGAGAATGCGTACATAAAAACAAATTACAATTCCTTTGATAGATTGAATTATGTCTAGCTTATTAATATGGATTTAAGTTATATACACAAACATTGTAAATATCTTTCTACACTATTAGTAAATTTTAATATGTGACAGTAGGTTAATAGGTTAATTATTATTTTTACCAAGCAATCAATTAATATTTATCAAAAAAATTATCTATATATACTTACTTAATATGCTACCTAATTGTATAAAAAATTTTACATCGTCGACGAATAATAAAACTTAAACTCTAATTGAAACATATTGCAGTAATCATATTCAAATGACAAAAAGTAGTGGATCAGGCTCACTTGAACTTTCATATGCATCTTCCGGGGACAATGAACCAACACACAATAAATGGAGCAACTTGCGAGCACAATTAAAAAGATATTAAAATGCAATTTTCTCTTTTAATTAGAAATTGTAAGGGGGTGGGGGGGGGGGACAATTTGAATTATGTAAACTGTTATCAATCTGTATTGCTGTAAGTAAATAAAACAGTAATCTTTCTGAAAAATAAAACAGAAAGTTAGTAGAAACAATTCTGAAAAATAATATTCGAACTTCAAAATAATATTTGAAACGTTGAAGAAACAAATCGAGCCCACTGAATACACAGTGTGTCCTTAAGAAAATTATTCCCCTCAAGTACCCGAGGTTATGGATATATCCTCCCAGGATAGAACGATTTAACTCACCAGTGTATCGGTACCTAAAACTCTGGTGATCGGCGAACCATTCGATGGTCGTAAAACATACTGGAATATTTTGTGCAGAAGAAGAAGAAGAAGATTCAAAAAATTTTGTAAGTAAATATTCTGGGATTTGAAGGTCTATTTATAGCCAACTTGGTGATGTTTCTGAAGAGGTTTGCAACCTTTCAGGATAGTCATGACTGTTGGAACAGGTGTGACCCTCTGAAGAGGTTTGCAACCTTTCAGAACAGTCATGGCTGTTGGAACAGGTGTGACCCTCTGAAGAGGTTTGCAACTTTTTAGAATAGTCATGGCTGTTGGAACAGGTGTGACACTATTTCAGAACAGCCATGGCTGTTGAAAATTTTTGCGGCAAATTTAAAACGAATTTAAATTAATCCGGGAAAGAAAAACGGGCTAGACCGGACCGGGTCGCGGGTTATCCCTCCATTTCTTTTCCCACCATTTTCCATTCACACCTCTTTTGTTATTATTTATTAAATAACAAACCCAACAATCCCCCACATGAATGGGGAATGACTATAAACTTAAAGGAATGCACGGACGTGTGTGTGTTTTACAAACAAGAATTGATTGCATCTGGATAAGTAGGTTTCCCTTTGAACTTTCCGTAGTGAACTTATATCGGATATACTCGGTCAATCGGTAGATTTGATATCTTTGAACCGTCGAGCTTTGTTGTATACCTAGACAACATAAGTCACACAATCAATCCTTAACCATCTATGGTTCTCACGGTTGTGTTCATTTCAGCCATGAACACCGCCTGGTTTCATGAGTTCTTAGAGAATGGGCCTTTACCTTCATTCTCCTTGAAGCAGCTTACACTTCACTCTCACATAGATGATTCCTAAACGTGTAATCCTAAAGACACACTATCTGGTCATATCCTGCCAGACTTAGCAAATCATTAAAAAGCTTTAAGCTTTATTGACTCATCAAAAAAGCCTTAATGCTTTACCTCGTTTTTGAACATTGTCTTCATCACGAGAATGGGTTGAGTTAGTTGACAATGTTGAACCGTCATTCATAACTTTGTTTGATCTCTTTGAACCTAGCTCTTGGGATCTCCAGTCTGCTAGGTAGAGTTACCGCCATGATGACTTGTCCTAGGCCTTTAACCCCATTCCCTTTGATGATCTTTCAACCGCCTCTCTAGATAGGCCTTTTGTAAGTGGATCCGACACGTTATCTCTTGATTTTACGTAGTCAATTGTGATAACACCACTAGAGAGTAGTTGTCTAACGGTATTGTGTCTCCGTCGAATATGACGAGATTTCCCGTTATACATAACGCTCCCTGCCCTACCTATTGCCGCTTGACTATCACAATGTATACATATAGGTGCCAAAGGTTTGGGCCAAAATGGAATATCTTTCAAGAAATTCCGGAGCCATTCAACTTCTTCATCGGCCTTGTCTAAGGCTATAAACTCAGCCTCCACTGTAGAGCGGTCAATGCACATTTGTTTGGACGATTTTCAAGACATCGCTCATCCACCGACTGTTTAGAATCGGTTGAACCGGTGATCTAATTTGCATCACTATACCCCTCTATTATCGTGGGATACTTATTGTAGTGCAAAGCATAATTTGGAGTATATTTCAAATGAACGTTCAATGCAAACTTCCTTATGTTGTAGACTAATACGTCTCGATTTTCGATTGCATATCAGATTATGACTATACTTAATGCAGTAATTATAACAACAACTGGAATGATNCATCGCTCATCCACCGACTGTTTAGAATCGGTTGAACCGGTGATCTAATTTGCATCACTATACCCCTCTATTATCGTGGGATACTTATTGTAGTGCAAAGCATAATTTGGAGTATATTTCAAATACTTCAAAACTCGTTTCATTGTCATGAAAGTTCAATGCAAACTTTCTTATGTTGTAGACTATACGTCTCGACTTTCGATTGCATATCAGATTATTGACTACACTTAATGTAGTAATTATAACAACAGCTGGAATGATTGGCATCAATTGTGGCCACAACCTTTTAATATATAACACATTTCGTAATCATTCCGCCATTTTCAAGCATTTGTATTCTATTCATTCATATGTCTATATGATATGCAAATTATAGCACCTCCATTCATGAAACAAATCCAACTTGCAATGGATTTTGGTCATGTTCATCGGTTAGTTCACCTCATTATAGACCAACGTATTAATATATTCGTTCATGAACGGTCATGTCTATGCAGACGTATCTTTCTATGAAAAGTCACAACCTTCAAAGTGACATCATTTCATAAAAGAACTAAACAATATAAATTTTCATTAAAGAAAATGACCTTTCGAGAAAGGCATGTGACCAACTTCCGAATTAGTAGTTTCATCAACTAGTCTTTATTAAGACTAAACAACTGATGATTTTACCAACTACTATATCAATGGAGTTCAAAAATTATTTAATTTAGACATTACGTCTAACATTGGCTTTTGTCATGCATAAGCTAAAAGCTCCCACATTTTAAATATTTCATCAGCATATCATATATAATCAAATAATGACTGTATGATTTGAAGTATTCTCAACGTAAACACATTTGTTTACAATCATTAATTTTTGAAACCATTTGACAATATTATTTGGTCAAATCTCGCATGTCATTGTTTACTAAACAATTTATCCAAACGTTACGACTTTTCCGGTTTCTCGGCCAGAGGAACAGCAGTGCGGCTTGACGAGGCTATCGTCGTTTGCACCAACAATCGCAGAAGGAATTCCATTCTCATTTGCCATTTCTTACAGTGAACAACAGAAGAGATCAATTAATGGCAAAATCAAAACAGTAAATAATACTGTAATTAATAAACAGTACGTAATAAAAATAACTAAAATTTTTATATACTGTTTTACAGAAAAAACGATGAAGTTTTTATGTTCTTCAAATCGTTTTCTGAAATTCAATATCCTGATGAAGTTTTTATATCTTCAAATCAGAATAATAAAATTCAGACAGAATACAGAATATAATTTAATAATTTCCTTAAGATTGTTATCAATCTGTATTGCTGTAAGTAAATAAAATAGTAATCTTTCTGAAAAATAAAACAGAAAGTTAGTAGAAACTATTCTGAAAAATAATATTCGAACTTCAAAATAATTTTTGAAACGTTGAAGGAACAAATCGAGCCCACTGAATACACAGTGTGTCCTTAAGAAAATTATTCCCCTCAAGTACCCGAGGTTATGGAATATATCCTCCCAGGATAGAACGATTTAACTCACCAGTGTATCGGTACCTAAAACTCTGGTGATCGGCGAACCACTCGATGGTCGTAAAACACACTGGAATATTTTGTGCAGAAGAGGTCTATCTTCTGGAAAATTTCGTAAGTAAGAAGATTCAGAAAATTTCGTAAGTAAATATTCTGGAATTTGAAGGTCTATCTATAGCCAACTTGGTGATGTTTCTGAAGAGGTTTGCAACCTTTCAGAATAGTCATGACTGTTGGAACAGGTGTGACCCTCTGAAGAGGTTTGCAACCTTTCAGAATAGTCATGGCTGTTGGAACAGGTGTGACACTGTTTCAGAACAGCCATGGCTGTTGGAAATTTTTGCGGGAAATTTAAAACGAATTTAAATTAATCCGGGAAAGAAAAACGGGCTAGACCGGACCGGGTCGCGGGTCATCCCTCCATTTCTTTTCCCACCATTTTCCATTCACACCTCTTTTGTTATTTTTTATTAAATAACATACCCAACATAAACTGCATTGTTTACAAGGAAAAGCGAGCCTAAGCAACTTAAATATAAGACAAGTTGATTAATACAAAAAAAAAAAAAAAAGAATTGGCGAATGTAATCCATCTAAAGAGCTAGGTCATTACAAGAGACGTCTATAAATTACGCTCTTAAGGAAATAATAAAATGCAGACACTCGAAACACTATTTCCTAATATGGTGTTGTTTAAGCTTGGTTTCACTCTCACTGTTCTTCTCATGGCAACCACAAGTTAGTATCCGTCCCTTTTTGTCTCTGCATATTGAAATAATATTATTACACTCAACATGTATAAAAGTATATATGTGAATGTACGTATTTCTTATACACAGACATATACAGATATGTTCCTAGCATATTGCATGAATATGAGTTTTTATTCATATTATATTAATCATAATTTGATTTTGATAATTTTAATTGAGAAATATTTCAGTGAACGTGCTATGGTTCTCAAAGACGAATGTGCTCGCTTGGAATGTTGAGCATGATTTATCAAGAGTTGAAAGGCGTCTACTCCCTCAACTTAATGATATTTTAACTTGTGGGAAAGATTGTCAAACCAACAACGACTGCAGTGATTGTTGGATTTGCTGTAAGTGTGATGTGCTTCTTCGTTGCGACGTAGTTACTGGGTAAAGTCTGTGCAAATTGCACATTATTGTTCAAATGTGACGAACTCAGTGTGATTCAGTGTTTTTTTTTTTTTTTTTTTCATTTCAATGTTTCCTTGTCTTTTAGATTTTGTACGAATAAAGAAGAAAGTCAAGTGAATAACTTTCTATTTGGAAATGTGAAAAGATTAACCGGCGTGGTGAATTTTAGTACTTTGTATCTGTTTATAATTTTCAAGCATTTACCAATTTATTTATCATCTTTTACGTACCCTTCTAGTTTCTGTGATGTAGCACTTTTCTATCCAACAATTTTCTAATTTTTATTACGATCCAAACTAGGGGTCACATGACTAATTAATGAATAGAAAGGATTAAGTTTAGAGCTCCGTCTTGAAAAGAAGAGCTAAAAATAATCTACATATATAAAAAGTAATATTCACAGAGGATACATGAATGAACGAAAAAATTTAAAGTAAGAGTTAAGTTACATTGCAAAGTAAACGAGGAAACTCATAAAGCGCATATATATATATATATATATATATATATATATATATATATATATATATATATATATATATACATACATATATATATATATATATATATATGGTATTAATGGTCCCTAGCTAATTAACCATGAAAAATAAGATCTCTGATAAAATACTTGGGTATATTGTTTTATGGATAACATAAAAAGATATACTCCTTCACAAGAAAAATAAACTTTTAAAACTCGTGGTCTAAAATGCGCTATGAGATTCCTGTGACTACAAAGTAAAATTAACAATTTAAAGTTTTATTATTTCTACTTCAGGAATGTTACAACTGTGAATAGCATATATTCGTCGATGTTTATAAAAGATCATCTAAATCACAATTATTTCTATTTAATGGGAGATTCTCAATTTGAGAGATATATACAATATATAAAACTCCTACAATTGCATGTAAAAACGGGTGCTTTGCCTTTAGTGTCAAATCATTGTGTATACATTCGATTTATCAGGTGACTTAATACACCTAAAAAATAAATATTTGGTTGCGACTTCAAGAAAGTTAGCAAAATCCAGAAAGATGTGAGAGCTTCTCTCACTAACACTTTTACACAGTTTAGTCTTCTTCCTTTCTTTAAATTTCATACACAACAACCCCTAACTAAATCACTAGCCATGAATAATCCTATACCACCAAGTCCCTCTACCAAAGAACTTACAGAGCCACCTGATATTGGAACTATGCAAATCGATGATAAAATCCAACTTGTCACGATCTGGATTTTTCACCCTCGAGAGTCGTGATGGCGCCTACTAGTGAAAGCTAGGCAAGCCAACCAATTGAACTATTTACCTTGATTTCCATTTTTAATCCGATAAAAGTTAAGAGCCAACAATTAGATAACAACATAATTGAATAAGCGGAAGACTGCATTGTAAAGTTTTAATAATACTGCTAATACCAATCCATAACAAATCTACCCAAGACTGGTGTCACAACTTCACAGACTGTCTAGGAGTACTACAAATAAAGGTCTGAAAGAAATAATATAATACTGTCTCTGGAAATACATGAAAGAAACAGGAATAAAGATAGAAGGAGACGCTAAGGCCTGCGGACGCCTTCAGGACTACCTCGGGTCGCCTGATGATCAAGAAATAGCAAATCTCACTGCGGTCCGTAAGCTAAAGCACCGGGATCTGCACAAAAGAGTGCAGAGTCTAGTATCAGCACAACCGACCCCATGTGCTGGTAAGTGCCTAGCCTAACCTCGGCGAAGTTGTGACGAGGCTAGGACCAGACTACCAAATAAACCTCTGCAGTTAAATCATATATATATAGAAAGTAACAATAAAGGAAAACTAGCAATTTAAGATGGGAAGGGGACATGTTGTGGAGGTATCATTTACCAACAGTAACTCAGGAGAAAAACATAAAGAACAATTTTAAATTCGCAGCAGAAGAAATAAGGAAACAGTAACAATTCAATATCCACTTTTATCCTTTATTGTTGCGGCGCGCAAACCGATCCAAATTATAAAATACTGTTGCGGCGTGCAACCCGATCCGCATCACATTTCACTGTTGCGGCGTGCAACCAGATCCATATTATATTGTTGCGGCGTGCAACCCAACCCATATAATATTATTGCGGCGTGCAACCCGATCCATATAATATTGTTGCGGCGTGCAACCCGATCCATATAATTTTGTTGCGGCGTACAACCCGATCCGTATAATATTATTTCGGCGTGCAACCCGATCCCAATATACAATTCAACACCAATCACAAAGAATTCCGACAAGGGAGCAATAAGAAAACCACAATATCCCGGCAAGGGAATAGACAGTAAGGAGTAAATACGTCCCGACAAGGGAATCAGCTATAACCAAACTTGTTCAAACATTTGACTTCACAAAAGAGACCTCAACTAGAACCCATACTTAACCATAAGCAATTTCCACGAGAATAATCATAATTCTTGCCCAACACAAAGAATCAACAACTTAGGCATTCGTGGTACTTATTAAGAACACAACGATTTCAAATTAAGACTCACGGGCATGCTTGACACCAACGTATAGACGCTCGTCACCATGCCTATACGTCGTACTCATCAAATAACACATAACAAATAGGACTCGACTCCTAATCCCTCAAGCTAAGGTTAGACCAAACACTTACCTCGATGCCACGAACACAATTCAAGCCTCAACTATCGCTTTACCTCTTGATTCCACCACCAATTCGCTTATATCTAGCCACAAGTTACTTAACTATTTCAATAAATGCTAAATAAATCAATTCTAACGCATGGAAATGAGTTTTCTAAAGTTTTTCCCAAAAAGTCAAAAATCGACCCGGGCCCGCTTGGTCCAAATCCGAAATTCGGACCAAAATCCGATTACCCATTCACCCCCGAGCCCGGATATATAATTGGTTTTGAATCCGACCTCAATTTGAGGTCTAAATCCCCAAATTTCAATATTCTTAGGTTTTACCTAAAATTCCCAATTCCACCATGAAAACCCTAGATTCTAGGATGAAATTTTGTAAAAAGAAGTTAAAGAGTAAAGAAAATGAGTTAGAAATCATTTACTAATGTTTTGGAGAAGAAAGAGTGTTTGGAAAATCGCCTCTTACGTTTTTAGGTTTTTGAAAAGTGAAAAATAACTGAAAGTCCCGTTTAAATATACCCTTCTCAGACCCTCTCCGCGGACCGCACAAAAAGGACTGCGGCCGTGGAGCTCACCGGGACCGCACAAAATCGAGTGCGGCCGCAAGGCACCCACCTCAGACTGCACAAAATCCTTTGCGTCCGCAAAGGCCCCTCCGCGGTAGCACAAAATCATTGCGGACCGCACTGGCAGGTTCAGAGATCTGCAACTTCACTGAACCTGCAACAACTATGTTTTAAGCCTAAAATATCCCGGAACCTACCCGAAACTCACCCGAGCCCTCGGGATTCCAAACCATATGTGCATACTAACTCAAAAATATCATACGGACCTACTCGTGCGATCACATCATCAAAATAACATGTAAAACCATGAATTAAACCTCAAAACTCAACATTTTCATCAAGAACACTTAAAGTGCATAACTCTTCAACCGGAAGTCCAACTCACGTCAAATAAACTCCGTTTTTCACCAAATTTTACAGTTATAATTTAAATACTATACCAGTTTATATCGGGCTCCGGAACCAAAATACGGGCCCGATACCAATGGTTTCAAGCATTAATTCTTTTCTTCATTTCTTAGATAATTCAGCAAAACAATTTCTTTCAAAAATTAATTTCTAAGGCTTGGGACCTCGGAATTCATTTCCGGGCATATGCCGAAGTCCCATATTTTACTGTGGACCTCCCGGAATCGTCGAAACACGGATCCGGGTCCGTTTGCTCAAAATGTTGACCAAAGTCAACCATAATCAAATTTTAACTCTAGAAATTTCTATTTCTCATATTTTCACATAGAAGGCTTCCCAGATATAGCTCCGGACCATGCATGCAAATCGAGGTGAGGTAAAAGGAGGTTTTTAGGCCTCGGAACACTGAATTTGTTTCTAAAACAAATGATGACCTTTTGGGTCATCACATCCTCCACCTTTAAAACAACCGTTCGTCCTCGAACGAAGTACCTGAGTCAGGAAAAAGATGGGGATAACGGCTCCGCATATCGGACTCGGACTCCCAGGTCGATGCCTCAGCAGGCTGACCTCTCCACTGAACACGAACAGAAGGGAAACTCTTCGATCTCAATTGACGAACCTGCCGGTCTAGAATAACTACCGGCTCCTCCTCGTATGACAAGTCCTTGTCCAAATGGAAAGTGCTGAAATCTAACACGTGGGATGGATCGTCGTGATACTTCCGAAGCATGGACACATGAAACACTAGATGCACGGCTGATAAGTGTCGATGCCCCCTTTTCCGTTTTAAAAGGCGAAATCGGGTTTACGACATTTGGGCGGACAACTCCTTCCCCTTTTGGGAATTGGGTTTTGGAGTTTGAAGAGTCGCCACCTAATGATTAAGTGCATTAGGACACTAAGAAGGGTTTGAGTTGGAAAACCAGAGTTTGGGTAAGGGCTAGAAATTATCTCGAGGGGAAGGTGTTAGGCACCCCTCAAGATCCACTAGTGTGGTTCCCGGCCATGCTACAATTGTGAATTTAAAGCAAGTAAGCATACAAGACAAATTTCACATAAGGACCTCGAGTAGATATGTATAATAGTTACTAAGCATGCTGAAATTTTGAATAGGTGGTTTCCTAGTTATTTGAAAGAATGTCTAAGTGCAAAAAAAAGGGACCAAATAATGAATATAAACAATCAGATACAGAAGTGCGTGAGCAAAAAATTTTATTTAGAAGAAGAGGACAGTGCAAAAATTAAAGGAGAAATTTTAATGACTAAAACAAAATGCAGAATTTTAAAGAACTGAAAATTGTCAAATAATTACAAAAAGGAAGGGGGGGGGGGGTCTAGGTTTGTAAAATACATGGATCATCCACACAACACCGGTGGTCAATCGTATGCATGGTGTTATCGCGTGATCATCATCTCCATGTCTACCCTTCCCACCCCATTGAGGTATTGAAGCGCGGAATGGTATCGTTACTTATTGCATGCTATTACCCGTCCCGATCCTATCAGTTCCGGAGGCATTGGAACTACTAGTCCTAAAGGGAAGGGAATTGGGGCTTTTCAGAAGTTCAAGAAAGGATAAAAAATCTAGGCGACAATCAAAA